AACTTCTCCTTGCGGCTACAGAATTATTCTAAGGGGTTGCCAAAATTGAGTAGAATAAGATAAATATGGATCAACTCTCAGACTCCCAAGGCCTGAGATGGAGTTCTTCCTTAGCATCTGAGGAACAGGTATTTGCAAGGAAATCAAGAGGCCTTGGGCCCCTCACTGCCTTCGGAGCACGTTGTGGGAGGTGCAGACCAAAGGTGAGTTTACACATCAGTGACTAAAGTTTCCTGCCACTAAGCATAAGAAGTCACTCATGAGCAGCGTCCCTAAACCACAGCTACAGGATGTGGGCACAAGCCCTTGTATAATTATTGGCCAAGAGCCAATGAGCATTCATCCCTGTGCAAATACTTGGGCTCTTTTTTGTTGTTAACCTTTGAAAACCACAGGCATTAGTCTCTCTCTTTCTTCCCCTTGGCACGAGTCATCTTCTTTTCTCCAACTTGGTCTCTTGTGTGTAAAGAATTTCTGAGGAGCTTTTAAGCCTAAATTTAATACTTTCACCCTCCCCTCTCCTGCCCCACAAAATGCCAGGCAGAGGTAAAGCTGCCTTACAAAATATCTGCTGGCTCTGTTGGCTTCCGCAGCTTTGTTTGGGCTTTTTGATCAGATAGGAAATTAGAGAGCTCTGTAAGTGACCTTAGCCTTTAAGAAAATACAGGTAATTTCTGGAAATTCCCTTAAACAACGGTGATCTCTTATTTTCTCACCTCAGAATTAACCCAGAAACTATGATACACTGATTGAGATGACACCTTTCCCTGGGAATGGAGATCTATCGAAAGAGCAGTGATCCAGGAATATGAAATTGGCAGCTTTGGCGTTTAATCCCAGTATTGCCAAAAAATCACCATCTGCTTTTTGAGCAATTTCTTTCCAGTTTCTAGACCTTTGCTTCATGTTCTGGGAAATGAAAGCATTGGATTAGATGGTTTCTATGCTTCCTTAGCCTCAGGGCTCTGTGAATTGGCTTCCTTGTAAAGCTTCAGCAAAGGGATAATGAGAACGGGCCCCAAGGCAAAAGATCCAAAATTCACAAATTGGCTTCTCTTTTCTGCCTTAGAGGATGGCCAAATGTCAGGCCTCTAAAGAGGCTCAATTGCCCACTTGGAGGTCAGGCATGGTGATTCTTGACTGCTCCTCTTCTTGTAAATGTTAGAGAATCCATCAGCCTTGCCTCTGTACACAAATGTCCCACACCCTGGTATGGAAACCCAAGCTGAACCTACTCCGTAAGAATTTTTTTTTAAATGAAAGAGATGGCAGATGGACATTACAGAGTCTAAACTAACAGAAAGAGAACTTTCTAACCATCAGTAATGCTCAAGATATATCAAAAGACTATGAGTAATCTGTCAATAGAGATGTTCAAAGAGTTTCTGAAAGGAGACTTACTGGGAATTTTCCAGTGGGATTTCCTGAATGGGACAGAGATGAGATAAAGAAGATGGCCACCCATGACATTTTTAAGATGATATGCTCTGTACTTGACACCTCTTGTATCTAATCCTATTCTCAATCAAATCTATGATGTCCCTTTGGGAAATTTTATCGGTATAGTTCAGGTGATAGTCTGAAGGAAAAGCCCAGTTGTACATAGGTCCCTTGATTGGTGGCTGCCTATGAGCTTATGGACAAGGAATGCAAGTGAGAACACCAAGTGTCAAATGGGAATATGATGCTCAGAAGGTTCATAGTGACCAAGAAACAATTCCCAGAAGGAACTGGTTTTAGTTCTCCTGGATGTCGTGTGACTTTCTGCTACTATAGTCACATCGCTCTACAGGCAGGTACTCAACGCTTTTTATTTAATAAAATAATCTAACCTCATTTTATTGAGTCCTCACAAGAGCTTTATGAAGGATCATTGTCTCCATTTTACAGATGAGGAAATTAAACCTTAGGAAAGTTAAAGGTTATTTTCCAGAGTCTCACATGACTGATTCAACTCTTTCCAAAGAAAAAAGGATCTAGTTATCTAATCACTAGCAACAATTATTTGGAGAATTAAGAGGTTTCTGGCCTTAAACAACTATATATCAATCATGCCTCCTGCAATCCCTTTCACAATATCCACTTTATCTAGTCCCTGCCTAAACGTATCAAGTGAGGAGGGGCTCACTACTTCAAGCAGCAACCAGCCCATCTTTGGACATTTCTAACTATAGGAAGCTCTTTCTTATTTAAACTGCCATCCAAATTCCTGAATCCTCTCACCCTCTGGCCATCATCTTCCTTTCTAGATCCCATTTATCAGCTTATGGGATATCCTAAAGAACAGTCTTTGGCAAATGTGAAGGTAGTTCTCATGTCATCTGTGAGCTCACTCTTCTCCAGAGTGAACAGCTTTGGCGTTGTTAAATGCTTATTTGATTATTACAGACTGGACCTCAGAGCTAAGAGACATCTCCCTCCTCTCATCTTTTCTGATTTACTTCCACTGATGATGCTACACTCTGTCCTTTAGAAGGTCATTTGGGAATAGTCCGGCTTAGGTTACAAGGGGGACAAATGTGCAGAAAGAAGTCAATTGTCAGGCTGATCCTTAACTGGAATGTGCTGGACATTTCAGAGTCTTCTGCCAACAAATGCCACTATCTTGAGGCAAATGGGGATTTTTGGGCAGCAGTGTTATAATAATTTGCCAATTATGCCTCCTTCAGAACCACTGCCAAAATAATCCAACGACTTTTCATTCCACTACTGTTGACAGGACAGCTAAGGATTTCAACATTTCCTTTTACAGTCTGAATAGAAGTTTCCTGCCTTGGGGACTGTAACAATATTTGCCATCACCGGGAGGGGAAAGTGGGTGTTGGGAAGGAGAAAGAGAGGGAGGGAGAGAAATACTCATGGAAATAAACAGACAAAATAAAATAATGGTTATTCAAGGTTTGGGTTTTGAATACCTGCACCAAATTGATGTTTGTGAATATATTAGAGGACAAATCTCTGAAATTGAGGAAGTACGACTTTAGAAGAAAAGACTTTAAAAATAGACTCCACATAAGACCAAAAAAAAGATTAGCTGGAATTTTTCACTTGAATGCTAACCAAAGTGTCTCAATTTTGGGTCTTGGGACAAGCAAAAAGCCAATTATAATATTGCATATGGTGTTCAACATTCAAAGATTCTTTCCAAAATAAATTGAAAATAAAATAAAATTGAAAAAGAAAAGAAACTTGATGAGATGAGAACAGATAAGATAATCTCCTAAATTGTTCAAAATTACACATAAATCAGAGAGACAAAGAGGAAATGCGAGAGAAAAGAGCAACAGAAACAGAATGAGTTAGGATGGTGTTTTTGAAAACATGCTCATCAAAATCCTCTAGGATCCAAAGACGTTCCAAAAGGAGCACCTCTGAGACCTCAAAAAGAGGAGGCCAATGGCATTCCCATCTCCACTTCAATCACAGTGCAGCTGCTTCTATCTGTTTTACATATCGGGCATCTGAAATAGATTTCATTAGAAGGAAAGGGTCTGCTGTTGAAAAAAAAATGTTTGAACAAAAACTGCAAAAGGAAATGAGCCATTGAAAGTTCTTGAGGAAAGAGTGATATGATCAAATTATGCTGCAAGAATCTGGCAACCAAGGGCAGGACGGATTAGAACAGGGTCAGCCTTGGAGCAGGGATCCCAATGAAAAGGCTGTAGCAATAATCCAGGTTAACAAAATTAAAAACTTGATTTGATAACATACTTGTGAGAATGGAAAGAAGGAGTACGTGAATAATTTGGAAAGAAAAATGAACTTTAAGTTTGACATCTGGGCATTGGAGTACAATGCTAAGCCACATACAGATGTGGTACTGTCATGGTCTGAAGGTTTGTGTCCCCCAGAATTCATATGTGGAAATCCTAAAGCTCAATGTGATGGTATTAAAAGGCAGGGCATTTGGGAGGTGAATATGTTATGAGGGCAGAGCCCTCATGAATGAAATTAATGCTCTTATAAAAGAAGTACAAGAACTCCCTTGCCCCTTTATCATGTGAGGATACAAGAAGTCTGCAACCTGGAAGACGGCCCTCACCTGACCATGCTGGCACCCTGATCTCAGAATTCCAGCATTCAGACATGAAAGAAATAAATTTCTGTTGTTTGTAAGCCACCTAGTCTGTGGCATTTTGTTATAGCAGCCCAAACAGACTAAGAGAGTTACTGTTGGGAATGTATTTGGCAAGGAATTATAAGAAATCAAAACCGACAGATTTCAGGGATGATGACTGGGACCATAAAAACGCCACAGAGAAATCTAGGATTTTGAAGATGCCAAAGGTGAGTGGCCCTTGGAAGACTGATACAGATTATCAGCAGACAGAAATGAAAAACTGAATCTGGAAGAAATATCAGAGATAGGAATACGGATTTGGAAGTAATCCTTACATTGTAGCTAAAATAATAGACAAGGAGACCCCAATGAGAGAGAAAATCAGGATCAGGGGGCTAAAAACAAAGGCCAAGAAAATGCCTGCAATTAGAAGATAGAGGAACAAGAACCCAGAAAGTCTGCCCTGAGTGTCTGATCAAACAGTCAATTGCTAACATTTGATGGCTTAGCATAATTTATCTTCTGGTTTTAGGAAATCTGATTGCTCTCATATGAGGTCTGAAATGTGCATCTATCAGTCTAATAAAGCTTTTAGATTTCCTAAGATGCTAAATATTCAAAAACATGTAAAGCTACTTAAAAGTAGTTAGTTGTTTCTGTCTAAAAATATGGTGACCTGGGGCTGGCCCAGCAGTGCAGTGGTTAAGTGCACATGTTCCACTTCGAGGCCCAGTGTTCGCTGGTTCAGATCCTGGGTGCAGACCTACACACTGCTTGTCAAGCCATGCTGTGGGAGGCATCCCACATACAAAGTAGAGGAACATGGGCACGGATGTTAGCTCAGGGTCAGTCTTCCTCAGCAAAAAGCGGAGGATTGGCAGCAGATGCTAGCTCTGGGCTAATCCTCCTCAAATAAATAAATAAATAAATAAAAATATGGTGACCTGAAACAGAATCTTTAATTACGATTTACCTGTGGATGAGGTACTTATACATGAAAGAGTCTCAAAAACCAATACTCCCACGGGCAAGGGAATAGCCAAGTTTGTTGCGGTTTCCAATGAATGACATCAGCCCCGTGTACGTCTCAATCAAAATGGGTTCAGTTAACACCGTCAGTCCCTTTCCTCTTCCAGATCCAGTGGAATTCTTGTGGGCATTCTGGATAGCTGGAACAAGCTTAGACATGAACCCAGACAACTAAAGAAGAAAAGAAGCACAGAGTTAGTGAATGCGCAGTTGGTCCAGAGATACCACCTTCCCAGTCGGTCCTCACAAAAGTCGACCACTCTCCTGGGGCTGCAGTCATTCCACTTCTTAAATGGAAATCCTTTCTCAGAATTGTTAACATTGCTTCTGCTAGCCTTTTAATAAATTAATCAATTAATAAATTATGTACATAATAAAAGTATCTGCCTCATCTTGTTTATTTTTCATTATTCATAATTTCTACAACATTAAGAAGTCAATTTAATAAATATTTGCTTATAGTTTATTATGAATCAGACACCTGATGGGTGCTGCTGAAGATTTAAAGACAAGTATGATATAGTCTCTGTCCTCAAAGAAGTTACACTGTAATGATCTAAGAAATGAACTCATAGTGATTATACAAAGTTCATGAAAATAAACAGCAAAGAGAGGCAAAAGATGCTAAAGGAACACAAAAGAGGATAAATCATACATGGTTAGAGGATCAGGAATGGCTTCAAAAGGAGACAATCCGTCAAGTGTTAATAGGATTTCAACAGGTGAAATGGGGTTAGGGAGGGCCTAGTTGACAGCTGCTATTTTTTTTCCAACTCAGCATCCTTTTCATCCTTTGCGATTCTTCTTCCAATGAGAGTACCTTGATTTTCCTTTGGAGAACCACCCTCTTCCATTTAGTCCAAATAGTTTAAGTGGAGCTGATGTTAGCTCACGACTCAGGCCTAACCAATCAGAGGAATCCATTCCTCTGCACACAGAGGTTGGTTCAGGTATGGACATATGACCAATGTGGTTGCAAAACTGATAGGTTACAAGCCTGGAGGTATCCGTGGTCATTTTTGCCACACATAGCAGAACCTGATTGAGAACAAAGCCCACAAAGGTGAAAGAGCTAAGACATGACATGGAGAGAGATGAATTGTTGACAAAGTCGTTTGAATTACTAGATCAGCCTACCCTGAACTTTTAAGTTAAATGAGTGAAAAAAATTCCTTCTTTTGGTCAAGCTAAGTTGAATTGTGATAAGAGGAGGGCGATATAGGGAGCATTCCAAACAGAGAGAGAAAAAGGAAATGAATTAGGAAAGCTCACATCTTTGCATTTCCAATAAGCTCTTTTATGTCCATTATCTCATTCTAGTATAAACTTAATCAGGTAGGTAAAAGAAAGTATCATCATTTCCATGTTAGAAACCAAGGCTCTTAGAAGGTTAGTGACTTACAGTCACTCCAGTTTCTACATTACAGTAAAAAAGAACATTAGGAAGAGGGCCGACTCACAGTGAGATTCAAGTCTGTTTCCTAGGCAACTAGCAAACAAGTCTAAATTAAAACTCTTAGAGTATATTCCAATATCCATTCAAATTATTAGGCATACTATATAAAATGACCACTGCTCTTCCCATTTCTCCACGAGGAGGTAAATCTTAGCTTTAAAGGACTAACACAAGACTGATAATTCAATGAAGAAGGAGTAGCTTGCAGTTTTTCACCATAATCCAATTTTCCATATAGGTTTTATCCTGGATTCTTCATTTCATACCAAATTGCCCTTGGGCACATCACTTCTCCATGTTAGGCTTAGTTTCCTTACTAGTAAGCAAAATCTAAAATTTAGAATGCATCTATCATTTCTAGTTGACCTAAACGATACACCAAAAAAAGGCATGCAAATGAAATTTCTATACTTTACTAGCTGCATGACATTGTTAATTCACTTCCCGTTTCTGAGCCTCAGTTTGCTGTTTTGAAAATAGTCATTGAAATCTATAGTTTTTAGATAATATTAGTAGTAAAAAAAATTAGTGATTTTGATGATAAAACAGCATAGAGTTTGTTGGAGTACGTCAATATGTATGTGTTTTCAAAATAAACTAAGGTTTAGTCCCTCTATTTCTCTTTAAAGTAATATTTACCTAATTGGATAATATCAAAACATTAATTTAAAAAATAGAATCACTTCACTGAGGCTAAAGACTGAGAGACAAGCAGGGTTTTGCTTGTTCTCCATGAGTTTCAGTCGCTAGTGGCAAACACAGACAGAAGCTACCTCTTATTACTAATTACCAGTCCCAGCATCCTCTTTGAGACCTTAGAAGGCACTGAACTATTGGTGTTACTGAATGAAACAAACTATAGTCACACAGCCTGGGGATTTTGTGTGAACTCCACCAGCGCTTTAGTTGATTGGATAAGAAAAGCAGAAAGAATTGTTCTTTCTTCAGCTTCCAAAAGGCAAAAGCAAAAAGAGACGAATAAGTTAACAATATGGGCATTTAATCACTGTGTTTTAAAATCATTGAATCTCAAGGTCAGAAGTGATCTTAAGTTTATCAATTCCAGCCACTTATCTACTGTTTTATTTGCCTTACCACATCCTGACCAAGAAGCCACACTCATTTACATGGATATATCCAATAATATGGAACTTATTGCTATCTAACCATGTCCATTCCACCACTGTGTACAGTGGGAAAATTCTTGGGATTAGATACATAGGACCAGGTTTGATTCCTTGCTCTATCAGTTACTGATGGTTAGACCTTGGAAAAATCATTTAATCCCAGTGAGCCTTAGTTTACACATCTGAAAATGGGAAAATAATAATAATGATAATGATAGTAAATACTAACCCCATCAGAATGTTGTATGAATTTCTGTTAATTATTCAATAATATTTTATAAAGTATAATATTTATAGATATAAATATTATCATTATTTATATGCAGGAAACACTTATCTTCCTTAGTCCTATTCCTTTCAATTTCATACTTTGAATGCCAATTCTTTGCTGCAGAGGACAATGTCTTTTGCATTTTAGGATGTTAAGCAGCATCCCTAGCCTCTACCCGCCAGATACCGGTAGCACTTCCACCCCGGGTGTGACAAACAAAAATGTCTTCAGACATTGCCAAATGTCCCCCAGAGGCAAAATCATCCCCTGTTGGGAACCACTGAACTAAAGGAAGTATAACATAATAGAACATGAGTATTGAGATCAAACACATCTATCTGGTTTTAAATTTCAAATATGGCACTTGCTAGCTGTTTGACTGTGGACAAGTTATCAAACCTCTCTGAGTTTTATAGTTCTTTTTCCATAATAAAAGGATATTAATAGTATCAGATGCATAGGGTGGTTGTAAAGATTAAACTAACTTTAATAAATAAAGGGTTTGTGTATAAGTTCTGTGTGTGTGTGTACGCACACACTCATATATTTCAGGAAGAGCTGAGGAAGTAGAATAAGAAGAGGCTGGAATTTAGAGTCACATTACAAAGACCTTAAAGGAAGCCTGTTACCAATAACCAATAAATATTACCAATAAATCATTGACAGCATCATCATCATCACCATTATCATCAAACTGATTTAAAGGCCAAAGTGAGATTCATCTCAACACTTCCAATGCAAACACTCTCTGGATTGTCAGGATACCTTTCATAGATCAACCAGTGTTTGTCAAACTGTATTACTGCATGCCTCCCTAGTCCTCACCATAAGCTTCAGTTCATAAGAATCCTCTGTGGCCTCAGAATCTAAGTGCTGGAAAGAACTTGACACTATTTCATACTCAATGAACTTGGCATTTCATTAAAGTCAGATGCACTTCATTTCTAGCCATTTCTGTGAACCCTCTAAAAGGAGGAGGGTCTGTGCAGACAGAGCGACAAGCAGCGCATTGAAGGAGAGGCAGACAAAAGGCCAATTCCCCAAGCTGGCTCTTGAGCATTTCAAGCACCTGAACTCAATCTGTGTGACAGGAACGCGATGTCATCTGATATGAATGCCACTAACCACATACTTTTCTCTAAAAGCTTTTATACACCCACCCCTGGCTCCTTCTTTTATTCCAGTTTCAAAAACGCAGGGTCAAGTTTTAACAACTCTGGTTACATAGGGGCTGTGTGTTGGTTGAGGTAAGGTATAGCAGTGTGTATGTGTGTCTTGGGTGATGTGGGGGAGTGTTGAACGTTCTTCTTGACTTTACAGCAATTATTTACCAGCTGAGTGACTGGGCCCCTGGTTTGCTTCAGGGGCTGTCTGCCAGCAGTTCACTGCCTAGAGTCTCAATTTTCCTTATTACAACCATCACTTGCTTCCTGTTTACAATGGGTAGGGAGACCGGGTTTCATGCCTGCAGGCCCACGTTCTTCAGCTGAGCAGACTTTCCAAGCCTTCTGGCTATAGGTTTCAGCCTCACCAAGTAGAAAGTGAAGCCTGCTGAAATAAAGAGTAAGTCCATCCAATACTCAATACTGGAAACTACTTGGGAAGTCGCACAGCTGAGGAGAATGCATATATCATCCTTGCATATTTTACCTGGAATTATCTCTATGGAGACACCATGACTGTGGGTATATTCAGGTGTGGAGAGGGAGAAGGGAGGACAAGGCAGAAGCTTCTTTCCTACAAAAGAGAGGTTTCTACACATCCTAATTTCCGTCCTTATCCTAGTCCTTTCCCCAACTCTCCCCAGTCAATACACATGCACGCGCGTGCACACACACACAGACACTTTAAGTTCTAGCTAAAATAAACTATTCTTTATCCAAGAACAGTCCATCTACCTTTGCAATATGCAGCTTCTAACTATGTTTCTTTTAATTAAAATGTCTCTTCCCATCTTCTTCGATACTTAAATCACTTTTACCTTGCGTTTCACATCGTGTCATCACACCTGCTGACGTTTTGTTGTGTTTGTTCCCTCTTCTGCTCTCCCAGAACAGCTTTTGAATCTCTCTATTAACAGTCTTCATACATTAAATTATAATGTGGTAATTACCTTTTTTTTTTTGCCTTCTTCCTGCACACCACAAGTGTCTGGAGGGCAAAATCTGTTTTATTCTTCTTGGTCTCCCAGGTTACTAGCACATTGCCCAGCATGTGCTGTTCCATGCCAGAGAGGTACTCAATGAATATTTGTTGAATTGATGTGAAGGGAAATCGAGGGGCTAAGGCTATACAGTCACATTTGATTGTGGAACCATTGGTTCACTTTCATAATTTCCTTGATAAAAAGGTTAAAGATACCAGAAAAGAGTAAAAGTGTTGGTCTGTAGATCACTTTGATTTGGCTGCAGAGCATCCATGATCCATTCACTGTTATTCATCAGCTCCAGGCTCAGTCACTAGTCCCCCTCAGCAAGACTCTCCATATATCCAAGAACCCAGCCAGACAATGGTTAAAAAAGGGAAGATAGGCTACAGGTTGCAAATGTAAAGTGGACGAAACAATTGAGGCTAATTGATCTTGGTTGTAAAGTATCACATCATATCATGTCATATCATACCAATGACTATGAACATAGACACACATTTCCTCAGGTTTATACCCATTTCCCTGAGTATCAGCAAATTGTTTGGGTGTGGAAATAGAGCTATTACTGTAATACCTTAGTGAATTCACTTATCACTCTAAGTACCCTCATTTTTTCAGTAGAGATAGCTATCCTGACCTCACAGGGTTTTTGTTAGTTGAATTACATGAAAACGTGCAAACTGTAATCAATAAATACAAAATACAATTACATAATATTACACAAGATTACTTTTATGTCTTATAATAATAAAATCAATGCCAAATTAAATTGTTATTAATTGTATTAATAAAGTCAAATAAAATCAATGCCATCTTTGCATTTTTATCTGCCCCCTCTATTAAGCAGTGCCTTTCACAAAAATAAGAATCTTGTCTCATTTAGGTTTGTATCCTTAACAATAATCATAATACCTTCACTACGTAGGTGTCAGAAAATACTTGTTGAATAAAGAGATTCCAGGTGCTGTAGAAGAAAAGTCTCTGAGTAAAAAAAGCTTTGGATTTCTTAAGTAATAAGTCATTCCATTAGATTGTAAATAATTTGAAAAATTTTACTGTGTGTAACTCAGTTCTACATGATTTCCTCTCCTGCGCCATAATGGGTTTGCTAAATTGAATTAAATTGCTTCAGGCATTTGATTTAGTTACGCGTTTCCACCATATTCTTCTACTTTTTCCTATTTCATCCATAAGGGAAACGGAAAAACTAGTTTATATCACCCTTGTAAAATCTTACGTTATGCCAAAATATTCATATAAAAGGGATTCCATAAGCCCAGAATTATCTTTCTTCCTATTTATTTTTTCACATTAATATAACTGGGTATTAATCAAAGCCAATCTTGGAAAATGTCCTAAACGCAAACAATATTGTGACACAAAAACCAACAAAAAAAGAGAAACTGAAACTCAAAGAACTGGATCAGAGCACTCATCATCTCACATCCCAGATGGAGATTACTGGTTTTCCTAGAGAGCTGGGACATGGGGTGGCCTTTGAATAAGAAATCACTTGGCAAATGAAAGTGCCATTCTGTTGCCAGGGACGAAAAAAAAAGGGATTTGGGAAGAATAATTTAAGGAGAAAAGCCTTAGAAGAAACACACTTAACAGATCCACAATGTAGTTTTATTGACTGAAAACCAACCAACCAACCAGCCAACGATTCTTCGAGCTCATGCCCATGCATGCGTGTGCTACATGCGCACTCACACACCTACTATTTTTCCATCCAACAAGAACTATACAAACATCAAAAGTTTCCCTTTTAGCCTTGGCTAAGAGGAATGCTTGGGCAAAATTTAATACTCTAGTCTACTAACTGTATTCATGGGTATTTGGCGACTAATTATTCCATCCCCCTTTTGATATTTTATTTTTCATCTTCCTTTTAAAATTATTTGATTGTATATATCTATATGTAACAGAATAAAACAAAGCACTATCAGGTATTAGAGTAATGCAGTGGCATTTCTCTGCAGTTAATAGAATTTGTTCTTTAATCCTTCAACCTGAACTCCTAGCAAAGGACACTCAGAGAACCAGTACTTAATGCAACAGGTATGAGGAATAAGAGAAGACTTGGTCCAGGAAGAGATGAATGTAATAGCCAAGGCAATTGTTGTTTATTTGGATTTACAATAAAATACAATTACTGTTACTTCAAAAATATATATTATTTTAAAGGAAGAAATGGCTTTGGAAAAATACATTATTAAGCTCTTTCAGTTGGAGTAACAAGTGTTAAAAAAAAAAAAGAAACAGATAAACTGCACTGTTAATAAGAAAAAAAACCCAGGAGTTTGAGGAGGGGCAAGAAGAGGACAGAGAAGAGAGGAGAGGGGGTAATGGAGCAATGCGTCAGAGTATTATTATTAATAAGATCTTTTAAAAACAGGGATAGCTAATATTCCATTTGCAATTTGGGGCATTATTATGATATAACTCCCACTCTATCCTCTGGAAGCTCTCAATAAGTCTACTCTCAAATAAATGCCTTTGTGTAAGTGTTATATTGTTCTTATTGGCTTTATTATTGTTGACTTTGGGTGGTAAAGAATCAGGCTAGTGGCTGATGTTGATGCTTGGGTTGAGGTATTGTGAAATAGGAGTATCACATGAAGAGTAACAACATGATCCATATAATGAACTAATTTAGTGCTTGCAATAACTTGGAGTCAGAGGTAATCCTTGAGACCATATGCTCCTAAGGACATCTGCATAAATCTTGAGAGGATGGTTGACTTTTCCTGAGAGTAGAATGGGATTCAAGCCAACTCTATCTATGTATATTAAGGGGAATAAAGACTCCATACAGCCTCTAATCACATATATTTGGCCTCAAATTCCTTTTAGAATAGGGGACTTATCAAGTCAAAATATGTGTTTATACATATCCATATACACTTGAATGAATAGGTGTGTTTAAAACACTGCAAGAAATGTAACATATGCCATCCAACCTCAGAAGACTTTAGATGCAGACTGCCACGTTTTGAATTTATAGCAAATGAAGAGTTGAGATATTCTGCAGTGAATGCCAGCATATAGAGGTAAACAAAGAAAGGACAGAGAGGGTAAGAATTTCTAGATCTATGAGCGCGCTTGTATGTGTGTATCTGGCTTGGTGAAAACATAAAGGTTGATCTTTCATTGCATGTACTGCTCCAGCTGTTTTACTTCCTGACTACTTACAGGGTCCTAGCACTGCTTAAGTTTTCCTTGGGAAGATGAAAGAATAGCAGATGGGACTCTCCCTGCCACTGGTGAATTTAGAATCTACTTGGGGAGATGAAATTTAAAGGCAAAAATACTGTCAATTGCCTTACATTTATGGAGCATTTATATACACAGTATCCCACTTAACTTTACAATGGTCCAATGAGGTCGGGAAGAAGGGTAGGGTACATTTTAGAGATGAGATTATCAAAGCCCAAGTTTAAAGTCTTAAACACAACCACAGAACCATATCTGATTTCATACTTCACACTATTCCACACTCCCTCTCTGAATAAAATAATTAGAATTTAATTATATACTGAAATTTATATGAACCCCGTGGGCAATAAACACAGTCAGACAAACATAAGCACTGTAATTTTTAAACAATATTACACTATAATCTCTTACTAAGAAATTAGCAAGGAGGAAACAGCATGATATGGTTAATATAAATATTAATATTTTTTCATATATAAAACAGCTCCACTGTTAACTACAAAAAAGTTCTATAAGCCTATCAAAGTTTTTACCTGTAGAAACCCCTGGTTGTATCTTTTTTTAAAAATCAGTACATGTTTTAGAAGCATAAAACTTCATCAACAAAGCTAATCTAAGAATGATGCCCAAGCTGCCTCCTACCTTGCAAGTTTCAAGGAACTTCTCACTGGTGTATTTCATAGGGTGTTCAGTGAAGGTAGCATAAGGCACCTCAGTGGACCATGGGTTCCAGCGGGACAGTAGGGATTGCTGCTCCGGACTCCCCCAGTAGATCCTAAGGCCTTCTCCTTGTCGCCTACAAGAAAAGTGTTTTCCTTTAGATTAAGACAGAAAGAAAAGGGTGGAAAAGAAATGTAATATCTCAGTCAGCCTTTATACTGATGCTGGGATAAGTGGTTTACCTACCAACTAGTTGAACTGTTCCAGGAATTTAGGAGGTGAGAAAAAAAGGATAAATTTGGTTTCAACCATGATGAGTTCAAGGTGTTGTTGAGAGTTCTATGTGGAAAATGCCTCCTTGGAAATGTGACTCTGGTGCTCAGGACAGAGGCCAGGGCTGGAAATGTGCATATTGATCTCATAACGACATTCTGATGGTGAGAGTTAGAAGAGAAAGGAAGAAGGAAGAGTCAAAGTGGTGGGACAGGAACTGAAACAGTCATGGTGGGAGATAGTTTCAAGGAGAAAGGAGACAACAACAATAGTTTCCACAAAGCAGTAAGCACAAGCAATAAATAACGGAGAAAAGACATGGGACTTCCCAAATAGGAGGGTACACATGATCTTTAAGAGGGACAATGATCAGTTCAAAATTCCCTGTGACCTCAGCTTCTACATCTCATGATTCTCTATTCTCTGCACACATTCTATTCAGTGAAATTGCAGCAACAGACACGTCCATGCTCGTGGAGAGACTGAGCCTACCCTTTCCCACTAAATTCACAGTCCTAACCCACAGAATGTGGGAGGCAGCCACTCTCTGATAGAGCCCAGGCCTGGTCATCTGGTAAACCAAATACAGAGCAAGAGAAAGTCAGCTTGAGAGTGGTGGGAGGGAAGTTGTGGCAGGGGAGTATGGCCACATTGAATAGCAAAATTGCAATTTCTGTAGCCTCTTCTTTTGCATGTGCCCATCAGAATTCATGATTTGTGGTTTTAGACATCTCTGAATGTAAAGAGATCCCTGGAGGTTAAGCCCAGCTCAGGTGCTTTGTATTCAACAAGCTTTAAAACTAAGTTGCCTGTAATTCTAAACCGCTCCATGGAACACTACAGAGGTCTCATTTCTTCTAGAAATTAAATCCTGGGATCTAGAATGAAAAACTAGAGCTTAATTGTGGTACCTTCACAAAGCTGTCACTTCCTGTATTAAGGAACGATTGCTTTGGGAATGCTATTGTGGTTTCTGAATCTTTATCTATGTAGAGATGCGTATAAACACAATCTCACACATATGCATATAAGACCCCTCTCCCCAGTTGTCTGATTCCTGAGCTTCTTACAAAAGGAAAAGTATGAAATCAGCCTGATACATTCTGCTACTTAGTTCTCAGATTTTTTGACGATTATATTCGAAAGCTGACACCCAACCTTTTTTGCACTTAATCCTTTGCCCAGAAAGAAAAAAAAAAAGAAGGAAAAGAAAAATATTGTACATACCTCTAAAGTTGCTTTTCTAACCCCTCACCTTCTCAGCTGCTATACTGACATTTTTCATCCCCCTTGTACTTTCCTTCATTTTTTTTTTCTGGCCTGGTAATAAGCCCTAAGCTCAATGAATATTCTATGCATGCTGGTTAATGGAGCATTCTGGCCTGAGTCCATTAAAACAACTTGCACAATGGAATTATTTACTGCTTCATATGTCAATTTATGTGCTGAGTGCAATTTTGCTTTTATCCAAAGGGGATGAAAATCTGCCAAGATAACTTCTCTAATAAGAACATTTTATATTCTTTCACCTTAGGGAAACCTCAGATGAAGTTTAAGAAGGAAATTCAAGAGGGACTCTATTTCTAAATAACGAATCGATTTGAGCATGGCAATGACCTTTCTCAGAGACGTAGTATACCTCTAAGTGTACAAGTTCAGCCAACCTTCTCTCCTGCACTTCAGGATGATAGCTGGGAAGAAAAATCTAGAACTAAGTAGTGTCTCCAAAGGTAAAACTAAGGTGGTGCTTCTCAGTAAAGCCCTTAGCATCGAGTGCTATGAAAGTCTACCTTCTGTCAAATGTCATAAGGGCTATTGTGGAGAGTACAGATGCCTTTATGACCAGGAATGCTTTATTAAACAGTTGTTTGTGCTTACCCTGAGAGAAGGCATGTGAAGGAATAGAGTGGAGTAAAAAGACGCAATGAATAGAATGTCAGGTAGTCCTGTGTTTGAATCTTGATTTTGACACTTAATGCTGTGTGATTGTAGGCAAGTTCATTTTTGTTTCTGAATCTGTCTCCCCATAAGTTCTTTAGAGTGTCTCCATGTGGTGCCATTCCATGACCTCAGTAACTCTGTGTAAATGGAATAGACAGCTATGGTCATCATGCTACTAGCATTCAACCTGTAAGAAGCCTCTGGGTTATGGCTTCTTTGGTTTGGAGATATCAAATGTGCCCCCCTGAGCAAAAGACATCCTCTGCTGCAAAGGCTATATCAAGTAACGTCCAATCACTCCTACGGACCTTTAGCACCTGCCATGATATTTCACAAACATGTAAAAGCACAAACCAGTCACTATATAGTGGAATAATGGTTTAAGGTTCATAAACTATACAATGTCAGAGCTAGAAGGGCTCTTGGAAGCTCTAGCCCAGTGCCACCTTTCTGGAGATGGGAAAACTGAGACTCACAAAGGACTAGAGATTTCCCAAAGTATCACTACAGACAGAGTTGAGCTGGTAAGAGCCCTGGTCTCCCAAGACCTCGTTTAGTGGTCTTTTCACAGTTCTAGGCTACCCTTACAAAATATATTCCAAGTTAAGGCCCTTCCATTATAGAACACAGCTTATATACAATAGGCACAGAGTTCAAAGAATTGCCCTAAGAGGCTTACCCTCATTTGTGGGCAAAAAGCCTGCCCGGGGATCCTAGCTAAAGGTCAGAAAGAAAATCTGTCTCAAAAGTAACTGCAGCTTTTTATATATACTCAATATTAGCAATTATGAGATTGCAGGAAAATAAAGCAGAAGTGGAAGTGAAAGGGGAAATTTCAAAAAAGTTATGTTGTCAGGGTAAGAAGATTGGGCCTTTCTCACTTAGCTGCTATGGTCGGGTTAATCAGAATGGGAGTACAGTCCCAAGGCAAAAATGCCAACATCAAATTATGGAGCAAAGAATGATTTGGGAGTTTTCTTCCTGAAATCATACTCAGTGTAAACCCTGGATTTCACTGGCTCTGTGTCTTTGGGCAATTCACACCACCTTTTTGAACTTTAAGTGACAATAATTCTAAAAGAAATAAGAGGATAATGGATGAGGAAATGTTTTGTAAGCTGTAAGGCATTGTCCAACCAGCAAATATTGAGTGCCTGGTATGTAACATAATGCCTACTGTGTATTGTTAAAGACTTTATATTTTTAAATTTTACTTAACTCATAGTAGTTGCTTGAACTTTGTTGGTAGAAATAGATGTAGTTAACAGGAAATAAGAGAAAGACCATAGCCAGGATTATTCAGATCACCAAGTCAAGAACCACTAATAGAATGGAATAAACAGTGGGAGGAGAAACACTGTGATCACTGGACAGAGACAAAACAAGAGAAGCACATTTTCAGGAGAGTTGGTGCTGGGATCTTCCATGTTTGTCTTCACTTATCAATCACTCTGCCTCCACCTGATTCTGAGTCCCAGCATCCTTCTTATGTGTTCAACTCTTGTATCCCATCAATGTTTCGATGTATATAATTTCTTACTTAATCTTAAATCCACCAGAGAGACTTCCATTCAGATAGTTTCAGCCTGCCCTTCAGTTCTCTTCTTCAGACTGAGTAAGCACAGTTCTGTAATGCTTTTCTAATAGGTTGACAATAATCTTTTAAATTATCTCAGAGGTGGTTCCCTAAAACATTCCTAAGTTGTCTACCTTCAATTCCACCATTTGTTTAACACGTCCTCTGTGCAGTGTATTGTCACAAGTAGAGAAATGGGTAAGAGTCAACCCCTGAACTCCAAAAACCCATCATCTGATAATCTCTGGGCCTATTTTACTATCATCTCCTCCCAGACCTCAAAGAGGTACAGAAGTCACCTTATAGAAGTAGAGGGTCACCTATTACAAATTATTTCGTTCCCATTTTCTGTCCTCAAGGAAACCAGCTGGATCTGACGTCCATTTCCACAATAGTGGAAGCAAGAAGAGCAATGTACCCTTTACTTCTGGTAAATTTCAAAGCAGCACAGAAAGTCATAGAAGTAGAGGAAGGACTTCTTAAGGACCTATAAGAACTTGGTGAAAGAAAGGGGTTTATAACAGTCGGAGAATTTTAGGATCCTAGACTGTCTAGTTGGAACACTCCTTAGAGGTGTGTTTCCAATTTTTTCATTTTATAGATATATAAACTGAGGACCAGACTTTTCAAAGATCAGAGTTCTTCCTTTAGTCATGATAATTACATGTTCTACTCAGTGACTCAGACTCAGAATTCTACTCAAATACAGTTGTTGCCAGGGTGGAAGGCCTGAGCAATTACTACTTAAATGATCATAGCAGCCCAATAGAAGATTTGCCTACTGCACCAAAAAAGCAAAGGCATATTGATGAGGTTTACTCAGAAGCAACTACCACACAAGTGCTGAAGGACCCAATCATGAAAAATAAACGTGGTTTAACAACACAAAAAGGAGCTCCAAGTTGAATGGAGGGAAGAGTTTCTTCAATAACAAGCTTTGTAAGATGAGCAATTATTTCTGTTGGAAAAGATGCCTCTCCTTGAACTCTTTTTTAGCTGCACTAAAAAAATATGGCAGCCAGCTACCAGTCTGGGTTAATTTGCTCATTCCACACATTCTTCTTTCTTCTAAGAGATGCCAAGGATCCTTTTGTGTAACACAGGATAGCCAACTTCCTTTCCTTTGACTCCCCACTCTCCTTCTATCTTGGCCTTCACAGGTGCTGGGCTGAGGCATTCAACTGCCTGTTAGGAGAAATAAATGAGTATGCCAAGTTCCTCAGAACAGCAATGGCAGCTTCCATTATTACCTCCGTCAGCTGCCCCTCCTTTCTACTCATCTCAAATCTCAAAGCTCCACCACAGAATTAAAAACATAGCTCCAGGCACCAAACTGAGATTTATGA